TTAAAGGGAGTTTTTCCTCCCCACTGTCGCCAAGTGCTTGCTCAAGGGGGATTTGTTGGGTTTTCCCTATGTAATAATATTGATAACAGTAAGGTCTAGACCTTACTTTGTAAAGTGTCCTGAGATGACTTTTGTTGTGATTTGGCACTATACAAATAAAATTTGATTTGATTTGATTTATCTGAACTTTAAACATTTGGTAACATTACAAAATACTATTAATTGGCGTTACACAGTGGCCATGCACTTCAGACAAACAAAACTCTGAGCTTACACTCGGTACGCTGTCAGGACTCACTGTGTAGTGTGGGTAAACCAAACTCTAATCATTAAGTGTTTTTTCACTGTCAGCTGAAACTGACTTAACTCTGTTGTGAATTGTAAATTTGTAGCCAAGCAGTGACTCAACTGATCATATGCAGTACATTTGGAATTTAAACTCGAAAACTTCATTTCCTTTATAAGTTAAAGGATGGTAGTACTTCAGCGATCTGCATATTTAAATTACAGACCTTTGTCATCATGTAAACAGTCATAAACATACCTTTACAGTTATGAAACACTCACAGTTTCATGAACGTTGAGGCTCACAAACTACTTGTTTAGGTTAATTAAACAACTTTGTATTGAAACAGGAAAATGATCAGATTTGAACCGAACTGTGAGTTTTCTGACCCCTTGCACAACTAGTAAAAATACAAACAGTGAGCTTGGAGGTCCTTTATGTTAATATAGAGCATTGTTACAAATATAGGGGCAGCTGTGACTCAGGAGGTAGACCGGGTCGTGTCCTAACGGAAGATTAGCGATTCAATTCCCGGCTTGTCCAGTCAACATGTCAAAGTGTCCTTGAGCAAGACACTGAACCCCCAGTTGCTCCCGGTCACCGGTGCATGAATGTGTAAGTGCTTGGGAGTGCGAATGGGTGAATGGCCAAATAGTGTGAAAGCACTTTGAGTGTGCTGCGATGCATAGAAAAGCACTGTACAAGTATGAAACCATTTACAGTGTGCACTGAAGTTTGTCACATTGAACTTATTTTCAACCAAGATTTCAATAATTATTGCGAGGAATACAGTGTTATAAAAAAAAAAAAGAAATATTACAAAAACCCTAACATGAATAAATAAGGTATTTTGTATTTATTCCAGGTCAGTTCTGTACAGTTTACCAGCAGCACAAACTCCAGCCTCCACAATGATCACACAGGTGAATCAACACCTTCATGAACCAGTTGGAGCACAAACTGAAAACTATCATTGTCAAGATGGAAGATTTATTACAGGACTGCTGGATAAGTCTGACTTAGTTTCAGCTAGGCATACCAAATAAACTGACCACTGAGTGAACAGTTTGTCTGGATGTCTTCACTTCAGACATCAGAAAAACCCTCAGCATGACCAGTCTAACACACCAGGCAGGCACAAACTGAAAACTATCATTGTCAAGATGGAGGATTTATTACAGGACTGCTGGATAAGTCTGACTTAGTTTCAGCTAGGCATACCAAATAAACTGACCACTGAGTGAACAGTTTGTCTGGATTTCTTCACTTCAGACATCAGAAATTTAAATTCTGCACATGGAAGCAGATGTCTGAGGTGTGATAAGGTTTGTGCCTGTGTCATTGTGTGTCTGCTCTTTCCTGAACTGCCTGTGTGTACACTGACACCATGAGACAGTGATGTCTCGTGCTGCACTCTCAGGCCTCACCCACGGGGAAGGTTGTAGTTTTGCATGAAGGACGCACAGGTTCACTGAGAGCAAGAATGTGGCAGAACATGCTGACATTCCTGGAAGACTCCACCCACACATACCTCCACTCTCTGTTTACTAAGCTCCACGGTTCAGAACCACTGCCAGTATCGCCAGCATGCATAATAATAAATAGGAGCTAAATATGTGCTCCTCTGTTTCCTTAAGAAGTTCTAGTTGTATGGTGAAAACCCCCTTTTCTAGTTCATTCAATTTTTTTATCTCCTGGATACAAGAATCTTTTTAAATTAAACTAAGACAAGTCACAATGCCTTGTCATGCTTGATTTAAGTCACAATAGGCCTGCAAACAAGTAGTCGCTGTTACATTAGACTCAAAAGTCACAAATGAAAACTTCTCTTTTTCTTTCCTGAAAGCTAACTCATTATTTTTACAAGCAGGTTACAGGGTTATTAGAGCTCAGAGAGGAATCTGAACACGCTCACCTGTTAGTTCAGGCTTCTCTCCACTTTACAGATGCTCCTTGTTCTTCTTCAGTGTTGTACTGTTGTGTGTTCAGACTGGTGGCCGGATGAGACTCACTGACACACACTTTAGCCGGGGCGAGGAGGAGGAGCAGAAAGAGTGCGGCAGTGGAATGCAGTTCTGCTGGTTGTGCTACATGAAAAGTGACATCACTGAAACTGGTGGTGGAGGTAATTAAGTGCATTTATCAGTTTGGCGTTTTCATCTCAGAGGGAAATATTATTTTTGCTCCTCTACATTTAGCCTAGTTTTAGTGATGAATTTACTTTGCATATTTAGATTTTACCTTCAGTGTAAAGAGAAAATTAACAGCAAGAATCATATTTTATTTTCATTTTTCACACTTCAATTTTTTACTTGTTTTTTACCTCATGAAATTCCCTAAAACTGGGCAAACTCGGTTTTTACCTGGCAGATCAGTTCAGCTCTTCTTCACTATCAGCAGTTTGGCTTTTGATCCACTCTGTACATCTGTTTTAATTTCACTGAAGAACAGTTTTGAACATCAGACTTGTACTGTTCCACTACAATACTGCTTCTTTTACCTGAGTAAAAGGTTTGAATACTTCCTCCACTACTGATCGAAACAGTGATTTCACTCTGACACTGACACCGGGTTTTTCCCGCTGTGCATAAAAGAGGAGTGGTTTTGACCGGCGCCCTGTTTTTTTTAATTTTTTTTATCTGTGTGTGTGTGTGTGTGTGTGTGTGCGTGCATGCTGAGGATTAACAGCTCTGCTCAGCTGGTTCTCTTCAGCCTTGTGGAGTTAGGACAGCAAACAAACACAAGCAGACACACAAAGTATTGAGGAGAGATGGTGGGCAGCTGCATATCTCACTGTGCTTGATGCTATTGCACTGGATGGCAACATCTCAAATGTAAAATGTGCATGGATGAAGTGACAGCAGAATAAAATCCACTGGTTGTAAAAATGAGGGTTCTGTTAGTTCCTATTAGTCAAACAAACATAACATTAATGTAACTAGAGCTGTGAATGATGAAAATTCCCCTTGTCTGGAAAGTATTTTGTGATTCAGACCTTTGTTTCTTATGGAATTCATGCACTTTGTGTGCTCCCTGTGGCTGGTGAGTGGTATGTTAGTGCAGGTGTTTATGTCCCATATGGTATCTGGTACAGCCTTTACATCTTGTCATGTCATTATTGAGTTCTAAAAGTTTTTTTCACTTCAACAAAACAAATCCACTGCACTAAGATTATTTTACTGTTTTTCCAGTAGAACTCAACTTGAAGCCTCAGGAAGAAATGATGAATATACTGTAAGTATGTCTATGCAATTTATCTTTACACCAGTTTGATTTTTTTGTGGTTGTTATTATTTTGACACTCTTCAGTGCCTACTAGGTAACCAACTGCCTTTCAGGAAACCCAGGTCTAGTAGACTGGTGCTGCTGAGATTGGACAAAGTGTCAGTGAAGCTGCTCAGACCTCCATGGGACAAACACTAGTCCTCAGTGGGATTGATAGATTGTATTCTTATGGGAATATAACACACAGTGTGGTTATTAGTGTAGTTATGTTGTCTCTGATTTCACCTCTTATTCTTCCATTTGCTGAAAGCATGCAGTTGAGTGTGCACTCAGCACAAGGTAGACTCAGCACTGCCCTCAAGTGGTACAGGCTTAACTTCACAGTATTGTACTGCTGTACTTCTTCGACTTGTCCACCAGTTAAACACTGCTGCACTGTATATTCATACACCAGCGTTTGGACGTTAGATTGTTGTGTGAAATTATCAATGCATCTGCTTAATTCAGTTTAAAGCCAAAAGAACATCTAGTCTAAATATAATATTGCCCAAGAATACAAAATAGTTGATAAAATTGTGGATACAAGAATAAAATAGCAGGTAAAATGGGGAGTTTCAAATATTGTACATGGTATTGCACATAGTGTAATTTTATATGGTATTCTACTTAGTAGGGTAATGACTGGTTGATTATGTTCTCTGCCCTTTTACGACAGCGCTGTGTGTATATTGTGTCCATAGCAGGCAGTTCTGTCCCAATGATCCTCTCTATGATCTTTGTAACTTTTTGAAGAGCCTTCCTCTCTGCCTGTGTGGTGTTACCATACCAGACTGTGATGCCAGTGGTGAGGACGCTCTCTACCAGTTCTCTGTAAGTCTGGGTGAGGGGGCGACGGTTCAGACCAGCTTTCCTGAGCTGCCCGATGAAGTATAGCTGCTGCTGGGCTTTCTTCTCTGTGGCAGCCTGTGTTCAGTGTCCAGCGCAGGCCTGGTGTCACTTGCAAGCCCAGGAACTTGTGGCTGTCTGCCCTCTCCACCTCAGTCCCTTTGATGGTCAGAGGCAGCAGAGGGGAGGGGTTCTTCCTAAAGGGGTTCTTCCTTTTTGAAACCTATTAAAGCTTCAGCACTGCTTGAGGTTTTCAGGCAGAGATATTAATTGAACCATGAACCTGTGAACAGAGTTCCCTGCAGACCTCCCTCTTATGTGGTAATCTCTTTGAGGAAGTGTTACTTTTTTACTTTTGTTGGGCTTTTATTGAACCTTACCAGAGACCAGGCTGTAGGAGACTATGGGACTGCCTAGACTGCCTACCTTAGTATTTATACTCGATATAAAAGCTGAAAGTATTCCATACACTTGAGCAGGAGGTTTCTCTTTTACTTTTGTTTGGCTCCAGAGCATCTATAAACATTATCTTGCTTTGGTCTGTTATCTAACATGTCATGGGTAAAGTCTTAAATTCATTTGGCTCAACCAACCATGGTGAAAGTCTAGATACCATTTGGCACATCTACATGCCACTAGAAATAACACTAGATAGTGTTGTGGAACCTGACCTGGGCCAGTATAAGTCAGGCACGCGACAGTGATGATTTCCTTATCTTTTGAAAAAACACCCAAAGTCTCTTCAGTCTGAAGCAAGGCATATGATTTTATTGCAAAAGGACATAAATGGCAATATCTCAGTTTCTGGTTCATGAAGCTGGAAAGTGGACAGAGCTCCTGCAGCATCTTTTATACTCTAAATGTCTCTCCTAGTCTAAATATGTTCTACCCCACCTTTACCTCTTTGACCTCCAGTGCAATAGACACCATTGTATTTGAACCTAGAGAGGCCAGCCTTAGTTGCCCCTTCAGACGCTATGAAACAAAAATAATGAGCAAACCATATATTCTTGACACTTGCCTCTAATTAATGACACCTCCAACCATCATGAACATGCCCAAAACTCCATTAAGGCAACAAAAAGTAATAGGCGACATATCACTCTGTTATACAAATATGTCTAACCCCTTCAAAACCTGTCACAGGGTATCATCTTAAACATATTAAACATTAACATTAAAGACTCAACTTGTCAAAGGATGACATCTTGAAAACATTGAATATTTACATCAAACGCTCTTCTCTGTCTCTCCCTCTCTGAGGTGCGACAGGTGTCCTTGTGCCGCCTTTTAGTTTGGGGTGCGTATCTGGGCAGCCGTCCAAATAACAGACTAATAAACCCTTTCAGTTTATGCTAAGGCACCAGGGTCACCTCGTGGTCAGTTGTACACACAGAGGGTCACCCTTGGTCATCTGTATGCACAGCAGTACTGGTCAAGTATAACAACTAATGATGAATAATTTGAAATAAGATAAGCATTAAAATCAAATGAAATAAAACAAGTAAAAATATAATAGGTAACACAAGTAAAATATAGCAAATATGATAAATCAAATTAACTTAAACAAATCTAAAGACTACAGACATGCGAAAAAGACTTACTGTCATCCTTTAACCCCTTGGTCTCCCACAGTAGACAGATAGAACTTGATGGTGGCATATAGAAACTTACTGTCATCCTTTAACCCCTTGGTTTCCCACAGTAGACAGATAGAACTTGATTGCCATTTACTCAGGTAAAGGGTACATGCTTTGAGTGAAACCAAAACCAGAATTCTGTAGCCACCAGACTCTGACATGTGTTACCACTTAAAGGTATCACTGCCAGCTTCTCTTCTTGTGGTCGAGCTGTTTCTCAGAAACAGCCAGCGTATAAACCAGTCATTACACCCAGCTCTTTGTCAGGTTGTCATATTCCAATTGCGTGCTACGCAACTTAGTTATTTTCATCCTGTGACCTGTTTTGTACTTGTACCTGTGTACTTCATCCATCCATCCATTATCTATACCACTTATTCCTGAAGAGGGTCACGGGGGTGTTGTCTGAACAGTTTAAATAAGTCACCTCAACATAGAAAAACGTGTTAACAAAAAGCACACAACAAAGAGAGAGAGAAGACAATGGAGTCCAGTAGCAGGCATCACTGTGCTTGACATGAATGCTGTTCTGCAGTGAAACAACAGGATGGCAGCATCTTACCGTACATACAATAGGTGCGTCAAAGATTGGAGCTGTGACCTGTCCAGGGTAGACCCACCTCTCACCCAGTGTCAGCTGGTCACAGCTGACACTGTACCACAACCCTCATTAGGATAAGCGGTATAGATAATGAATTGATGAAGAATTGAACTCATATAAACTAGCAGTTACTAAAATGTGTTTTTGTGTTTAAAAAAAAACTACCTTATTACACCTAGAACAACACAACAGACACACAAACAGGTTTTTGGTTTTGGTTCACTTTCAGTTTAAATTCACTAACATTACCTGTGTGGATGTCACAGCTGTTGCAGCTGTTAGATCAGTGAAGAATTGATTTTCATCACATTCATCAGACCAAAGGATGCTAGTCCTTATTTGGGCTGAAGACTTGAAGATTTCTAAGCCAAGCTGATCATTTTTATCCAGTAATTTGTCTTTAATGTTGTTAAATGTTGTTTTGTTTGAAGATATCTGTCATGGTTGTAAGTTGTTCACTTCATGTTGAAGGCATCTTTTAAGCCTTTCAGTGCCTGTTCCTTTGTGATTCTCTTCCAGGCTTCTGGAACAACCGCTGGCTTGGCCTTGTATTCTTGAGCAAATCTGTCATTGTATTTATTCAGGACATACTTCCAGTAGTCAGATGCCTCTATGGTGGGGTCTGGGGGAATGCGCCAGTTTGGATAGTAGGTAGTATAGTCTTTGTAAGGATGGGGTTCCCATTTAGTGTCTGTGTTTCTGAATGTTTGTTGACCATACACATCAGTTGTACACAGTACTTCAACCAGCTCCTGTGTGTCTATATTCCTGTATTCACCAAGACCTTGTGGTCGATGAACAGCTGCATGATGCTGCCTATGTTCTTTGCCTCCAGCTTCACAGGGAACTTTACAGAACGGGCACTGTTGTCCACAGCCAAATATTCGCTTGAAAAGCTCATCTTGTGGTTTGACTGGAAGTTTGTTTAGAGTCTTCATGATCTTTTCAGAGGTGGGGAATTCCTCCTGAAGTTGTTTCTCCAGCCCATCTATTGAGATCTTTAGGCTGTTTGTAAACGGATGGCAGGTGCTTTGGATCTGAAACAAGGTGGATTTTTCAGCCTCCACTGAAATGGAGATGTCCTTGAGCAGATATTTGCGCATGTTTTTCATGAGCTCATTGATGCTTTCTGTGTTGTCTGGTAGCAGAATACCATCTTCTCCTTTTGAGGCTTGTTCTAGTGCTTCTGTGATTTTATGAACTATGACCTGCAGACTCTTGTTTTTCAAATTGTACAAAGTCTTGTTCTCTGACATTTTCTGCACAATGTGGTGAAATATCCAGTCCTTAACATATATTTCATATTTACCAATGTACTTGACAAAACTGTTGAAGTCTTCTTGTTGCAGCAACTCTTTTTGAATGTTGTACTGGAAAAAGGAGCGAGAACTGTAATGGGCCGAGTGGCCACTTGTCAAAATTTCATCCACAATGTCCACTCCCAGAGATCTGTTGATGTACTCTTCCACAGCAGGTTTGATACAGGACTGGACAAACTCTGTTGCTTTGCGTTGGCAATGATCTCTTTGTCTGTATAAGTCAAGAAAATCTGACAGGTACTGAGTCTTGTACTTCTCCAGCTGAGTTTTAGGATCATTATCTGACAAGAATTTTTTGTGCATTTTGAGGAACTCTCTTGAGGCAATCCCACAAATGTGAAGTTTCAGATCAATCTCAAACTTGATATTGTGATTCTTGGAGCAGGCAAGAGCTTTGTCTACTTTGTCCAAAAGATCCTTTGTGAAAGACTCATGGTAGTCTGTGTTTGTTTTTACTGTATCATGCACAAATCTTTCACAAGACTCAGTGATATTATCAGCTGATCTCTGCAATTCCCTTTTGATGTCATTTTTGGAGAAGAAATTCCAGGTCTTTGCATGTTTTATATGCTCAGTTCTGGCCTCGAACGCACACTTCCCAATTTCCTGTAGGTCTCCAATGTTCTGAAAGTCCTCATTGATCTTATGATTGTGGAAACTTTCTTTACACTGTTTGATGATGTTTTCAGATATGTTTTGTTCCTTCAGGCTCATCACATTTTCAGTGGTTTTTGTCCACATCTTTTCAAACTCATCTTTTAGCTCTTCATCAGACAGCGTGGAGCCTTTGCAGTCATGCAGGAGTTTCATGACCTGCTCCTCAATCATTTGTCTGTGTTTCCTATGAATTTCTTGAGCCTCCTTTGAACTTCTTCTCAACTCAAAGACACAGTCCAAATTTTTATTTACTGAATGCTGGATTTCATTTGCAGAGCTAATGATACTGTTGAAAAACTCTGTTTTATATTTCTCTATTAAATGCACATGTATGTTTCTTCTTTTGTAGTAGTCCTGAAGTTTGTTCTTCATTAATGTTTGTTGGGCTTCTATTTCTTTTGAAACCTCTGATTTTTTCAACTTAACCAAGTCACTTAAATGTTGGAGTTCAGATTCGTTGTCGGTATTGTTGATTTCTAACACTGCTGCATCTTGATATTTCAGTATTGCTCTTTTGAACTCCCATCCCCATTGATTGAACTCTTTGCAAAGGTTGTCGTAGGCATTAGCCACAAGAGTGTTTCTGAAACTAAAGATGAAGTTTTCGAATTTCACTGCTTTCCAGAGACTGCTCATCCATTTTAGAAACTCTGGGATCTGTGAATATTCATTTCTTCTGTCACCTTTTACTTTCTCTAAAAAATTATTCTTGAAATTGGCTACAGCTTCACTGTAGCCTGTGTTCACGGCTGCCATTGGTGGGGTTCCATGCCAGAGTCCTGGGATGTTCCAGTTGTTTTTGTCAATGTCGTAGTCCAGCACATCTGTGAATGCTTTAATATGAGGCTGCTTTTCCATTTCAGCTGCAATTTGTGTCATTTCATTGAGTTGGTCCAAAAGTTGTGTTCTTTCTGTGATGTTCTTTGCATGAGCTGAAACTGCTGCAACATTCTGGTGCACAATATGACAAACGGGCTTTTTACCAATTTCCTTCATTCTCAGGAATGCATGAGTTGCAATTTGCAGGATGTCTTTCATTTCTGTTGAGTTTTCCATGGAGACATTGATAATGGTGACTTCACTTAAACCAATGACAAAAGTTGCCAGTTGGTTGTCATGCTCGTAACTGTCCTCTAGTTGTGCCAGACGAGGAGACTTTAGACCCTCTGTGTCTATAAGCACTATAAAGTCACAGTCCATGTCGCTTTGCATGTCCTCTCCAACTTTGAGCAGGAGCATATAAGCTCCTCTGGTGCATCTGCCGCTGCTGACAGGAAACTGTACACCAAACATGGTGTTGAGTAGTGTTGACTTCCCAGTACTCTGAACACCCAGCACAGTCAGTACCAACAGTCTGCTCTTCCCTCCAACCTTTTTGTGAAGCTCCATCAGCACAGCTGTCACCCATCTCTCTGGGATGTTGGAAGCATCTCCATCCAAGAGCTCAAAAGGATATCCATCCAGCAGCATTTCAGCAGCGATGGCAGGGAGACAAGATATTTCACCCGCAGTTTTTGTTGAGCTTCTGATGGAGAACTCATAGATCAATGCCATCTCTCTCATGTAGTGCTCGATTCCTAAAGAACTGTCCAGCAAAGCCTGATCTAGCTCTGCAATGAGTTTCACATCTTTCTCGTTTTTGTTGCATTGTTCTTTCAGCTTATTACGCATCAAAAATAGCTGAATGGCAGACTCCAAATGTGCATTAAGCTTAAGTTTCATCCACTTAAGAAAAAAATTTCTTCTCTCTTTGTCACCTCCAGACAAGTGTTCAATAAAACTTTCCATGTCTCTGGATACTTTGTGTTTCCTTTGCTCATTCCTGATCTTTTCTTTTTCTGCTTGAAGCTGAGATTTATATTGCTCCAGTCCATGGTCACTACATTTTTTCATTCTACATTCTTCCATTTCTAGCTGTGATAATATTTTCCAGTTCTCTCCCTGCAATGGAAGTTGTTGTTTTTTGTAGTCTGGTATACCCATCCCAATTCCTTTCACAATCTCCTCAGCAGCTTTCTCTTGGTTGTGAGTTTTGCTTTCGTCCACAGACAGACCAAGTTCAGTGGCTTTGTCAAACATTCTTTCAATGGTTACAGTGTTTGTTCCAGTTGACATTGGTTTCTTCATGGACCCACAAAGTTTCTCTGAAAACTCTGCAAGATTTACTCTTGGGTCTTTGATCTTCACACTGCTGTTTAGCAAGTCTAACTCTTTCACCATTGTCTTGACAGACATCATGTCCTCTCTGTCATTACCCTCCTTTCGATTAACAACCAAGAAAAGTTTGGATTTCACATCTTGAAGAGAAGTCAGAATCTTGTGCTCATTTTCTTCAACCTTGTCCAGGAATACATAGGTCGCAGTTGACACTTCAAAAAGAAACTTAAATTGTGCAAGTGACTCACAGATTTCTCCTCGCAAATTGGTGAAGGCAACGGGCTCTGGAAATATGTCGAGGTTTTCTGTACCACTAGGAAGGTACCAGCAGATTTCTACCAGTCCAGTGGCTAGGGTCTTTGTGACTGCCCCTCCTTTCATATCTCTGTGTGTGAAGATGTTGTGAAAGTTTTGACCAAGGTTGAGAACATGATTCAAACACTGAGACTTTGATAAACTACAGTTTTTCAGCCTCACAAAGGAATAGAGTGGCATATTTGCTTGGACAATGCTCTTTTCAACAAACCCTCTTGATTCAGACAAATCATGTGGACGCCACTCTTTGACGATGTCTCTCAGAGCCCACAACATCAGGGTACACTGACTCTTATTGCCATAGGGCAACAGTAGTGGGACAGCGAACTGGCACATCGACATCTTTAGGGCCATTTCCTGTCGCAGGAAGCTGTCAGCACAGAGGAAGAGCGCCACTATGACGTCCAGAGGGTTCACCTTATTATCTGTTGCCCAGCCATCTGCAGTGTACAGGTCCAAGTCGAAGAGATCATTGTTTTCCTCTTCCTCCTTCTCCTCCTCCTCATAGATTGATAATTGTGTGCAGTTTCTGCATTCAGCATTGATTTTAAGTAGTTTCCTGAGAAAGCACCATGGTATTTTCTCCAGTGATTCAACTGTTTCATCATATGTGTTGTGTTTGTTGACTTCCAAGTGAGACTGAAGAGTGAGCTTGTTGGGATAAAAGTTCTTTAGTCCAAGTTTGGAGAGGAAGTTCAGTACAACTATGAAAGACAGAAAGGAAAAGAAGTAACACACATGCAGGCAGTGGGTGTGCTATGAACATGATGTGAAAGTTTCCCAAATCCTCTTCTTAGCATTGTATGTGTAAGTATCAGATGATTCTGATATTTTGTCTGTGATCTAAGTTTTTTTTTTTTTTATCAAATTACTAAATAATTCTGATTATGTTGTTATATATTTTTGGTAGTAGCAAAAGCAGACCAAATGTCTGTTTTATTATTGCAAATAAAATAGTGACCTTATTGTACACATTCTTCTTAGTTTGAAATAATTTGAATAGTTTTCACTGGTACTGCTGCTTGGCAGCCCCACAGAACCACACCCACTTCAACTACAGCATCTCCCATCAACTCTAGCAGATATAATTATGTTCCGTTTTGGCATTGTTAAATATGTTTGTATGTATTTATTTATATACAGATTTTTGAACATGTCATCATCCAACTCCCCTAAATAAATCTTTACAAAAATAAATATTTGATATGTTCAGTTTCTGTATATACAGTATATTTATTTTTACCTTGTATACTGAGCATCTTTGGCACAAACAGTTTTTGGGAATTAATGAAATTCAACCTTTTAACATTAGTCTTCCACTCAGTTTAATTAAGCAGTTTCAGTTCTGAGCTCAGGTTGGATACATAGCTCTGTATTTTATTTTATTTAGGGACACCAGTGTGCTGAAAAATAAGTGTTAGTGTGGAGCCCTGCCCTCATTCTAATATGTTGTTCTCTCAGTAACTTGATTTGGGGATGGCTGTGGCTTAGGAGGTAGAGTCGGTCGTTTCCTAACCGGAGGATTAGTGGTTTGATTCCTGGCTTGTCCAGTCAACATGTTGAAGTGTCCTTGAGCAAGACACTGTACCCCCAGTTGCTCCCAGTGATGTCACCGGTGTGTGAATGTGTGAGTGTTTGGGATTGCAAATGGGTGAATGGCCAAATAGTGTGAAAGCACTTTGAGTGTGCTGTAAAGCATAGAAAGGCGCTATACAAATATAAGACCGTTTGTCTTAAACTGTGTCCTACAGTAGTTCCAAGGAGCCAAATTTTAATATTCATGCAAACTGCTCCTCTGATCAGCTGGTGAAAGACTTTTATTCACTGTTGGATTCGTTTGACCTTATTCAGTCATTACTCTGCCCCACTCATCAGCATGGGGGCACACTCGACTTTGTTATTTTGCGAGGTCTGTCTGTAGTTATGGGAGATGTGTCAAACTCAGCCATCTCTGACCACTTTTCTGTCTGTTTTGAGATTCTGGCACCATTCAGTGTTCCCAGACCCATGACCCCACGCCAGTGCCGCAGGATTATCACTCCACTTACAGCCCCTAAATTTGCTGCTGCCTTTCTAGCCTCTGGATTTAACTTCCCTGAAACACAAACTCTTCCCATGTGTCCTGATGCTCTTCTCTCCTCATTTGATTCTACCTGCTCTTCAATCATGGACTCCATCGCACCATCTAGGACAAAGAGACCCAGAAACATCTCTGACCCATGGTTGAACGACTCCACCCGGGCACTGCGAAGATGCTGCAGACAGGCAGAGCGCAAATGGAAAAAGGATGGTCTGCACGTTTCCCTGGACATGCTAAGGGACAGTTTGGTCTCTTACCAAAACTCTGTTAAAGAAGCTAAAACTCGATATCTGTCTAGTATCATTTCAAACAGCAGTCACCATCCTAGAATACTTTTTAAAACCATTAATCAAGTCATTAATCCTACTGTTACCCTGCCCATTGAAGGCTCAGTTCAGTTGTGTAATGAATTTCAGAGCTACTTTACTGATAAGGTCTGGGCCATTAGACAAAACATTCCTAAGTGCTCATCTTCTGTATCACCTCTTTTTCATGGTCTAGACAGGCTAGAAACTTTTGTCCCGGTCTCACTGTCCCAACTCAAAAAATATGTCTCACTGCTAAAACCTGCCTCTTCCCCCCTTGACCCTGTCCCTGCCAGGATGGTCAAGGTCATTGATACTATAGGCCCCACTCTGGTCACATTCATCAATTCCTGTCTTGAGCTGGGCATGGTTCCAGACTCTCTCAAGCATGCGGTAGTGAGACCACTTCTAAAAAAGTCCAACCTCGATTCCTCTCTCTTATCTAATTTCCGCCCAATTTCCCTCTTACCTTTCCTATCTAAGGTCATGGAAAAGATTGTTCTTACTCAACTGCAATCTGATTTAGATCGGCTTAATATTGGTGACAAATTTCAAACAGCAAATTTCAATCAGGCTTTAAGCCCCACCATAGCACGGAATCTGCTCTGCTGAAGGTCCACAATGACATTGCATTGGCCCTTGATGCTAAGCAGCCTGTCATTTTAGCTTTGCTAGATCTATCAGCAGCCTTTGACACCATTGATCACATGGTCCTGATCTCCCACCTAGAACATTATGCTGGCCTAAAAGGCCCGGCTCTGAGCTGGTTCTCTTACTTTCTGACCAACAGGACTTTTTCTGTCACCATTGGGGAGTTTTCCTCTACAGTGGCACCCCTCACCTCAGGGGTCCCTCAAGGCTCGATCCTGGCCCCGTTACTCTTTTTTTTGTATATGTTACCACTTGGTCCAATTATATCAAGGCATAATGTGCATTTTCATTTTTATGCAGACGATGTCCAGATCTATATGCCCCTGACCCAATGTGACTCCAATGCTCTCGCTCCCCTTTTTAACTGTATCCATGACGTTAAACTCTGGCTTGCTCAAAACTTTCTCCACTTAAATGAGAGCAAGATCGAGTACATTGCTTTCAGTCCAGACTTGGCCAGCCTGAGACCCAAGCTAGGTGCCCTGACCTCTTCAGTCACTGATACTGTTAAAAACCTTGGAATAATATTTGACAGCAGTTTTAACTTTGATAAACAGATCCGCTCCATAGTCAAAACCAGCTTCTTTCATTTGAGGATACTAGCAAAAGTGAAGCCCTTCTTGTCTCATGCAGACAAGAAGGGCTTCAAACAAGGGCAAAGCAATTCACACTTTTATTACGTCAAAACTGGACTACTGCAATGCCCTTTACGTCGGTATCTTGAAATCCCTCCTTCAGAAGCTAGAACTTGTACAGAATGCTACGGCTCGGCTCCTGTCATGTACTCCTAGGTATGCTCACATCACTCCTGTTCTCTTCTCGTTGCACTGGCTTCCAGTGAAATTTAGAATTGATTTTAAAGTGCTCTTATTTGTCTTTAAATCTATTAATGGCCTTGCCCCCTCATATCTTTTGGATCTTGTGTCTGTCTACTCTTCCTATAGAGCCCTACGCTCTGCAGACCACCTATCTCTAGTCACCCCCGCTCTCATTACAAAAAATCAGGCAATCACTCTTTTAGCAGCTATGGCCCTAGGCTGTGGAATGCGCTACCTCTAGAAATACGGTCCATAACCGAGTTGGCCCCTTTTAAGGCAACTCTTAAAACGCACCTTTTTAGACAGGCCTTTGACAACTAATCCAGATATCTCTTTGGCTTCTGTTTTATCATCCATCTTGTCGATATGTCCTTTTCTTGTTGTTTTTAAAGTCTGTTATGCTAGTTATGTTTTTTTGTGTGTTCTGTGAAGCACTTTGTGCTCCTTTTGCGGGTTGTAAAGTGCTATATAAATAAAGTATTATTATTATTATTATTATAAGGTCCCAGGTGTACCACTTGGAAAATGTAATTTTCTTTTGTTATATATGTCCAGTTAAAGCTACACTAAGGATTCATTCAAAATCTAGTTAGCACTAGCATGAGACTTTAGAAACAATTGCCAACACTCCACTCAGCCCTCCCTCTCCCTGCTCTCTCCACTCTGCTCCACGAACGACCTGACCCTTCGTGCACATAAAACCATTACACAGATGGTTAAATTGATTACTGTGTTATTCAAGTAACTGATACCGCATTTGACTGGTAAAACAAACAGAGCAGGGTGGATGGTTGTGCTTCCTACTGTTGCTATAATAATGGAATCTTGACTTATTTTAACTGTTAGCAGTACAAAATACTCCATCTTGATTTTTTGTGTATTTATACTTTTATGGCTTTACATTGTGACAGTCACTTTGAAGAAATAAGTGTGTGCATATGTGTGTGTGTGTGTGTGTGTGTCTGTGCACAAAGGGGAGAGCGGCACAAGTGTCCCTTGGTTAAAATCAAATCTAAGCCCATAGTGTAAAATGTACAGCAGGTAATCTGTCTGTGGGAGCATACCTGTGGACTCCGGGCCATCTGTGTCCATTGTAGTCACAGTGTGTCTTCTCTCTTCATTCTTCACCACCTCATAACCTGGAGACACAATTGAAAAGCCTCTTTTTTTGAGCACCAGTTTTGTTTAAAGAAACTGCAATCCATCCATCAGTCAGTCAAAACAATGCACATTTAAATTTGTCGTTACCTGGGTACAGTGTAACTTCAGAATATATTTAGCTAACTCCTTTCTGCCACATTTCAAGCCCAATACAAACAATCAAATTATTCCAGCATATTAAGTTTTATTGACACTTACCAGAGACCAGGCTGCATGAGACTGTGGGACTGCCTAGACTGCCTGCCTTATTTATACTCCATATTTGAAACTGAAAGTGTTCCACACACTTGAACAGCACATTTCTCCAGAGCGTCATTATCTACAAGCTTCATCTTATTTGGGTCTGTGATCTAACATGAGCCCTGGATAAAGTCCTAAAAATAGTTTGGCTCATGCAGCCATGATGAAAGCCTACATATCACTACGTCAGGAAGATTGATACAGATTTTATTAATCTTATGAATGTAAAAACAGATTAAAGTTGCATTATATAAAGTCCCAATCTTGCAGGTGCTATTGACATGCTTTGAAATAGTCCCAATCTTGCAGGTGCTATTGACACGCTTTGAAATAACACTAGATACTGTAGATAGATAGAACTTTATTACCATTTAGTCAAGTACAGGGTACATGTATTGGGAATATTGTATTGGGAATCCAGAGAGACCTTCTTGTAGCAATGCGCAATATTTCATTCCAAATTCTGGAGCAGTAATAAACTATATTACTTTAGTAGATCTTGAGTAGTATTGAATAATGTTACCTCACACAAACTCTCTAAGAGTTAACATGGATTTAGAGTAACTCATACCAGCTTTGATGAACTACCAGCAGGTGTAAACACCACTGATGGGTCACTGCCAACCTGTGCTCATGAAATCTTTCTCAGAAATCCTCTGACCATTTGTCTTTCACTTTCACTTTAAGTGTGGGTCATCCACTCACCCTCAGTAGTAGGGCCCCCTGAACACTGATGGATCAAGAAGCCCCAGAGAAAAATCTTATTTTGCTAGTTATTTTATTCTGTCATGCCTTGTTTCATGTTTCGTAGTGAGGAAACATCAGGTAGTGCAGCAGTGTGTTTCCCTGATGTGTTTTTGATAGTTTTTGAACAACAGTGGAGGTCAATGGCACAGACAGATAAGATAATCCAGGATGGACAGCATGAAAAATATTAACTATGAGTAGAGGCAAATCATTGCTGGCTTTATTCTCAGTATGTTTAAAATAGAAAGTGACTGACCTTAACTGTTTAATTCCAGGCCCGAGGTGCTGCCACAAGTAATGTATAAGTTGTATGCATAAGCAAACAACCCCCAAAAATTGCAGTTCAAATATTCAGGCTGTGCATCATGCTCTCACAGCCAGCCATATACGTACAGTATCTGTACATTTAAAACCTGTTTGAGTTATTGTGTGCAGGCATGTCTCTGTGAGAACGGTGTCACTGCCCTTCAGAGTAGAGCATGAAGCCAAAACCCAAACTCTGTAGCCACCAGACTCTAACATGTGTTACCACTTAAGGGGATCACTGCAAGCTTCTCTTCTTGTAGTTGAGCTGTTTCTCAAAAGTCACTGACACTTTTCTTGTTTAGCTGACAGGGGTCCCTTTGTCGATTCAGCCGATGTGCCGCGCTTTAAAACTCGTGTCAGTGCAGCTTTACAAGGAAAATCTCTGCACCTGCCACCACAGTGAGTGATCTGTCTCATTCTGGACCACCTGTTCTGCCCATGTGTGTGTTTGCTGTCCCTCTACCTGCTCAGTTCTTTACAGGCTGTTTCACAATACTGAGCGGACTTCTTCAAACGTGTTCACACAGTCAGCACCACAGAAGTCAGTGTAGAGTATACTGTGGAACAGTTTTCACAAAAACAACATGTGTTCAGTGAGCACATCTTGTCATCAGGTCATGAACCGTTTTCTCGTTCAGACATTCACCACCAAAGCTCGGTGCTATGATTCCTGCCACAGCCCTGTTCATACTGTCCAGTCTGCCACACTTTTATTTCCTCAGGCCCCTCATGCATGTGGAACTTTGCTGAACTGCCGCTGTGCACCCAGCCACCAGATGCCCCTGGACTTTCCCTCCAGTCCCAGTAACCTGACCTCCACCCACCCACTCACATAGTTGTGCCCAGTTTCCTCATGCTCCCAGCCAGCATTTAAACTTGTCATTAAACTGGCTTTGTCAGGTTGTCATGTTGCAGTGTGTGTACTACACAGCTGTGTTCTTTTCATCCTGTGACCTGTTTTGTACTTGTGCCTGTATACACTTGTTCCTTGTATCTACTTAGCTGTTTGAGAGAGAGAGATGGAGAGAGTTGTACTGCATTACTGGAGTTTCCTTAGTTTCATTTTGTGCACTTGCATCCTGCATCACTGTAAGATAGCATAACCTGTGCAGAGGAGAAGTGTCATTCTTTCTGATGTAATGTGAAGTTATGCCGACTAAATAAATAAAATGTACCTCAAAAGTGGTCCATATTACAATGCTGCCTGTTGTAGGTGGGTTTTCAGGTCAGCATGTAAGTAGTGACATAGTGTTAGTGCTGGAAGATGGATGTGATGTCAATGTTTTGTTATGTGTGACGTGTTCTGGCTGCATTTTGAGATGAACTGCTGTGCTGAGCTGAGCTTGTACTGACTGAACAGTTTAAATAAGTCACCTCAGCATAGAAAAACGTGTTAACAAAAAGCACACAACAACGAGAGAGAGAAGACAATGGAGCCCAGCAGCAGGGTCACTGTGCTTGACATGAATGCTGTTCTGCCGTGAAACCATGGGATGGCAGCATCTTACTGTACATACAATAGGTGCATGAAAGAATGGAGCTGTAACATAAACTAGCAGTTAACAGTTACTGTGATGTGTTTTGTTTTGCTAAAAATCTACCTGATTACACCTACAACAACACAACAGACACACAAACAGGTTTTTGGTTTGGTTCACTATCAGTTTAAAAATCATTAACATTACATGTGTGGATGTCACATTTGCAGCTGTTAGAACAGTGAAGAATTGATTTTATTTTTATTAATTAGTGCAGAGCAGAACCTTGTATCGTCCCTCTGAATAGACTAAATTGTGACGTAAGTTTATTAGACTGAAAACCAATTTCTGTCTAACGGTTACCCAGCAGCCCTGCAATAAATCACCACACTAAGGTTATAATTATTGTGAAGAAAGGCATTTGAAGGCTGCAGTTCATGGCAGTTTGCAACATCATCACCACATGTGCCATCCTGGACAATATATGCCAGTCACTTCCACTCAAAAAATGCTTCTTTGTGAAGTCAGCTGTCGTCATGTACATGAAATTATGTTTATCTTCTTGCTAACACTGGTTTGGAAGTTAGTTAATGTCTACATACTATAAGTGTGATATGGAAACTGGAAACCTTCAGTGCATAGACACTGAGCTTCCAGTGAAACAGGACACAGCTTGTGTCCAGCTGTTAAAATGAACAAATGATTTTATTTTTATTTTTTTACAGTATAGTGTTTTTAGACATCTTCTGAAGGGGATAAGTTTGGCTCTAGGGTTCTTTGCTTTGCATGTTTATATCAAATCTGAAAAATAACTATGTAAAACCAGAAAAGAAAGAGAAGGTGTTTCCATTGAAAAGACAGTTGAGACAAGTTGTCCATTCTACAAAACGGTCTCTCTCAGGAGTGTTGCAGTGGTATATTGGTTTTGATGTATGCCATGGTATGTAAATTGACGGTTATCATACAATTTTTACATGTGCAGCTGTTATCATATGTATCATACATATTTTTATTACCGGCATTGAAGGAAACAAACGCAACATGTGTGCACCTTTGTTCCTTGAGACTGCCTGTCCGTTGCATGTGGGCATATGTCACTGGGTGACATATGCCCACATGCAGCGGACAAATGGCAGAGAGAAGCAGGCTGAAATCACCAAACTCCATCCACCAAAAGCTAAATTTGAATCAGCAGTGCAAACGATCAGCTTTGACACCACCAACCCTCTGTACTATATGTCCCGTATATTACTTTGATCCCAAACAGTAAAACATGTGAGCGTCTAAATGTCAGCCATAAAAATAATCTACCACATTGTCTGTTCATTCTCTGATCTCTGACTTACAACAGGACTCACTGATCCTGATGTGACCCCAGAAACACACACACAAACCTTTCTGGCTCACATCAGTGTGTGTATATGTGTGTGAGTGGAGGTACACACAGGTCTGGCTGTGCATGCACAGTAAATTAGCAGCTCATCTGCTGATTGTTTAGAGCATAGTGACGCCACTTCTCACTGTTGTTTGAGAAACTGGTCAATCGATTAATGGAAACAATAATCAGCAGTTTAGTCTCTAATGAAAATACTCAATAGTTGCACTTTGATACAAACTAGTTCAGCAGAGCTGCACCTCGACCAGGCACAGCAGGTCAATTCCTGCTTTTACATCAGTGCACGAGTGACAGGCTGTTAATGTATCAATGATATATAATAGTATAACAGGATGGATAGTGACATTTTTCAGCTTTGAGTAGCCTACTGCTGTTTAATACTTTAATTAATAGTTCTTAATACTTAATTTTACTTAACATCTCCAATGCAGGTCTTGTAATACTTAAGTAAAGGATGTGAATACTTCCTGTAGTACCAGTGCTAACATGTAAACTAACATGCTTCAGTAATGTAACATGTCATAGTTATAAGCTTTTTTAAATTTATTTTTAAATCATGTTTATAGCTCTGTTTATTCTTTAGGGACCGTCTAGCTGCGGTCCAGTTCAATCAACTCCACAGTCACCTGCAATTAAAAATAGACCCTTTGTTTTCATTCCTTTGACTGTCATAACAGTAATAATGTAATACCATATGCAGTAATACTGTGAAACTGTGATATTTTCTGACACGGTTATCTTGCTGTGAAAATCTCATAGCGTTGCAAAGCTGCTCCACACTCATATACGCACTGACACTTGTACTTCTGTCTTTATGAGGACCCTCATTGACATAATGCATTCCCCGGCCCCTTACCCTCACACATGATGTCTGCAGCTGTCTGAGGCTGATTCTTTGGTACTTTCCATATACACTGTATCTCCAAGTTGTGAGTATAATGAGAAGCAGTATAAAGTTGCTGTGACAGAGAAACAGAAAAGGTAGATTGTGATGCTGCATATTGTGAGTGGTGTTAGTAATTATAGCCCTTTGCCAGTGTAATTGCAGTGCTGTAATCTAAATGGGCTTACAGAGCAACATTAAATTAGCAGTTTTATAATTACCACTGAACTGCTCACATCTCACTGCATCCCCCACTTAATTACTAACAATTTGTCCCCGGAAGACCTATTGTTAAGCTGCAGTGTATAGAAGTGATTAGAACAATAGGCTGATTTCACTTCTCTTCAGTTGTTCTCGGCCATTTTACCAAAACTGTACATCCCAACAAGAGTAACTGAGATTGTGGTAAATCAGGATGTGCACCTCTGGTCACGTGATGACAGGTGGTCACATCATGGGAAAGATCAGGACTGTATGACGATAATGAGGAATGTAAAAGGTACAGTGAAGGGGAAGGTTAAGGCTTTGACCTTTTGTCGAAGCTGCAGGGCTCATTTTATGGGAGAGCAGGAAAACGCCTTTTTATTTTCACTAATCCCAGATTAATCTCTTATTTCAGAACATAGTGGTGGTGACTGTAGTGCAGTGGGTTGAGCAGTCATCTCCTAGCTGGAGAGTTGGAGGTTTGAATCATGGTGCCTGCAGTCCACATGTCGAAGTGTCCTTGGGCAAAACACTGAACCCCCAAGTTGCCCCCGATGGTTAGAGCCATCGGTTGAGTTGGCGCCGCAGATGGCTGCCTTGGTTCTGTACCAGAAACAAATTCCTTGTGTGTAACATACTTGGCCAGATAAAGGTGATTATTATTATCCTTATATTGTTCACCTGAAGGGAACAAGAAATCTTTTTCATCTAAATGTATTAAAATTCCATTTATAATCTGAAATCAACCACAAACACTAATTTCTATCTAAGTTTTTTTAAAATGTGTTTTATAGCATTTTGCATTTTGCACCAAAGCAGAATAAAGAAAATCAATAAAGTCACGAGACTGAAGAAATTCTCAGAACTGATTTGTATTAGAAACGGGGAAACATCGAGTTAATGTTGACAGTGAAGTGAGAAATCTGTAGGCATCTTTTCCAACTATACTCTGAATGATTTTCTATATTTACAAATCTGAAATGATGTTATTCATTGGAAACTGAGTGTTAATTGGAAACATCCAGCTCATGCAAAAACAAAACGAGTGAGAGTCGGACTCCATGTTTGCAGCCTCGTTAGTTTTTCATTGAGTGGACCTGTGCAGATCACAGATTAATGTGCGGTTCCAGGACACTGTGAGCGCCACAATGTCTGACAAATGAGCATTTAAAGGACATTTCTTTAAAAAGCAGCAGCTGAACTTTCCTTCTGTAAAGTTTCTCATCTCAGTGATTCACTCGTCATCAGTGAGCTGCCATCATCTCTCCTTTGGCTTGAAACATGTCAGTGAACTGTGTGTGTGTCGCTGTGTGAGAGTGTGTCTGCATTATCCCGCTCCGTTGGCAGGACACACACAACAGAGCTGACTAATGCAGAAAGAGGCTGCAGGCTAAGCTCCTTTCTCCAGAGATGTCTTGAAAAGTGAAGGGTGCATTGTGTGTCCCGCTCCTGCAATATTTATATCTCCCTCTTCACCTGGAGCTATAGAGATGTGCGTCATAAGTGTAGGTACGCACAAAAACACACCTACACCATTCACACAAGCATTGGAAGAAGGGAAATTATAAGGCCGACCCACAGCACTGTCTGATAAGCAGCACATTCTGATAATACTTGGAGTTTGTGTGCTAAAGTGTAGTACTCATATGTGAATAAATACTGTTAAGTGCGAGTGAAAAACTGTGTGAACAAGTGTGTGTGTGTGTGTGTGTGTGTGTGTGTGTGTGTGTGTGTGTGGGGGGGGGGGGTTGAATAGTTTTAATGGTTGATTATGAATTATCGCTGATGCCTGATGCCTCAGTTCAGATGGGGCCAATCAGAATGAACATCTTGTGACTATCAACCAAAATGTGTGTGGGGATACTGATGCTTTTAGAGAAGCTGCTTAGGATGCCTCCATATGTCTCTGAAAACCTGCACGTGTCCCTGCCTGTTTGAAACTGTGTTTCAAACACCCTGGCAACTTGTTTGAATGAGGTTTGTGTAACATAGATGTCATGTAGAGGCAGCCTGGCCAAATCTGGAATAGACCTGGGGAATACCAAAAGGAGACACTTGATTAGAGAATGCTGCAGCAGTGTGACTGTAGAGGTAGTGAGACGTGTATCCTCACTGGTCTCCCTACACCGTAAAACACCCAGCTGTTGTAGTGCAGAGACATCTCCACAGCCTACAGCCGCTCCTTCGAGGTCAAGCTGATTATGGCAGATGATTCACATCGAGGTGATTAGGACGGTGCGGGTTTACAGCCGCGGTGCTGCCCTCCCCATCGGGGCTGCAGAGCACGCACATGGGCGTAAATGTGTGAGCAAAGTCATAACTGACCTGTGGACAGGGGTCATTACCTCCTCCTGTGTGGGGCAGTGGGGGAGTGGGGGATATTAACAGTAAGTAATTTGGAGCAACGCTGTCCAGTGGAGATCACATCATGGTAAAATAGTGGCCCCCCCTCCTCTTTGTTAGGGCCCCGGGATTGACAAGAAGGTGGTGAGTGAGTGAGGGGGGCAGAGAGGGAGCCAGAAGGAGGAGGGGGGTGGGGGGACCATCTGCCACTGAGCATGCTGGGTCAAAAGGCTTTTGTTGTAAAGGAGTGACGAGACAGATAGATGGGCCTTGTCAGCAACCGCTGGTTTAATCAAGTGAAAGTGTCCGAGCGTTCACGCTCCACCCTCCACCACCACCACACACACGGAGTGACAAATAATGATTCTTCATCTATAATTAATAATTGACAGTGTGGTTAAATGAATTAAATTAAAATCAAAAGGTCAGAAATTGGCTTAAATCTGTCCATCTATCATTTTTCTGCTGGTGTGAAAACAGCGATAGTGCAGTATCTCCTCATTGCATCATGGGAAGTTTTATGGGTCTCTGTGGCCTTTGATGATTAATATTTTGTTCTCTATCTGAGATTATTTATAGAGTAAAATAGACGCTGTGTACAGTGGCAGCCTCTCATCTCCCACTGTCACCCCGACCCGAATTCAATCACGGAGCCCTGTGATTTAAGCTCCGTGCGCATGCGTGTTCTCTAATTAAAGCAGGTGCATCAAGCCGCCCAGGCACCAGATGTTAGAGTGAATTGACCTTCAAAATAAAACCACAATAACAGAACTAAAACACTAGCCCAAGTAGGTTGAAAAATAGGTTTAAAACTGCAAATCAAAGCATCTACCGAGACTGACAATCGTGACAGTTATGACAATAACAAGCAGGTTGTATAATAACAATAACAACGCATAGTGTGACACAGTTAAGTAGTGAAAGACTGTTATGTTTGTTATGTGTGTTGCGTTTGATCTATAAATATATGGACCCAAAGCTTTTCAGAGAAAGTGTCACTGTTTTCCTCCTGTGGACTGAAACTTTATCCTGTACCAAAATTAGCACGTTTATTTACTGAAATGTGAAATTTACTGTATGGAAATGAAATTCTGCAAAGAATCTTAGTAAAGGACTCAAAAAAAAAATCCTTAAAACAAAAACTTTTGTTTAAAATATTAATGTGCAACTAGCTTGAAAATTAATTTAAAATGTTTATCAGTAACTATTTCCATATATTTGATAAGTTTTCACATCTGAGGATGTGTTTTTTGTAATCTAATGTGATAGACCTTTAAGTCTTTGCGTTCTGGAGTTTTCTTTGAACATCTGGAGATTGCAATTGTTGGTTGATTTTCTATTGTATAACATCTGACCACTGATCAATTGATTAAGTGTGGAAATAACTGGCACTTAGACAGATATATACAGTAGATAGATACTGTAGATAGGTGAATAGCCTGTATTTTGAAAGGGACCCCCGGAAGTGTCCTCCCGCGTGGCCCGTGTGCTGACGGTGCTGACGCAGGCTGCTGGAGCGGCAGGCAGCAGCAGTAGATGTTGTCCCATCATCAGATCACACCCAACGGGGCTGCAGCGCGGCGATCCTCCGGCACCAAGACCATGACATCCAGATTCAGAACCGCAGTCTGAGCCACACTGGGGACCAGACCAGTGGAGACCTGGAGACATACGCGAGAGCACACGCACGCACGCACGGGGAGGCGATTATTGCAGCGACCAGCAGCCAGATAGACGGGAACACCGACCCAGGCAAACTCCACTGCGCCGCGGAATTTTCGCCCCAGAAACGCGTCCCACTCGGACACCCGCAAGAACAAACACTCCCTGCCAGTCATTTCAGGCCAGAAAATGTCAACGTCGGGCAAGGACGCCAACAGCGGGCATTACGCCAACTATGTGGGACCGTACCGCCTGGAGAAGACGCTGGGCAAAGGACAGACAGGTTAGTGAAAGCCCTTCTGAAACCCTAGGTGCGGATGATGCTGTCGGGAGTCTCCTCAGCATCACCGCGCCTGCCTCTGACATCATGCTGGGGTTTTGCACCAGCACTGCGTGTGCTGAAACAGGAAGCAGAGAAATACCTGATAATTGTGGATGCAGCTTTAGAGAATGCAGGGAGAGACGCTGCTCCCATGGCAGCGGTGATGTGATGGTTGTGTGCCTTTAATCCTTGTTGTCAGGCAGAGAGGGCTCCGTGATAATGGGCCCTTGTGATTTTTTTTTTTGTCTGTGATTCTGTTATAGCGTCCATCTGTCACATGGGCCCGCTCTGCTGAGGCTGCTCTCTGTAGAAGAGCTAGAGAAGTGATGCTGAACTGTCTGGTCCCTGCACACACACACAAACCACAGTCAAGTCATGGGTTAACACACACACACACACACACACACACACACACACACACACACATAGTGTATACTGTATAGACGCACATATACTGCAGCTGCGACATCACTCATTTCTGCATATTTGCCTGAGTGGTGCAGTATGCTGAGTTCATTTTTGGACTCTGTCTCCATGGGTTAAGATGGCAGGCTGGCTGACAAGGATGTAGGCCCCACTGTGGACAACATCAGGCTGATAGGTATGACAGGAAATTAACCCAGAATGTCATTTCCAGCTGTGCTGTCAAGTATTTCAGGAGGCATTTGGGTAGAAATCTGTTCAGGTTTTGTGGGACTGTTGATTTAAACTTGATCATGATCATTTTGGAGACAGTTATTTGTGGTGCTTTCAAGCTTTACTGCATTATACATAACTGCCCAGGATGTATCTACTGCATCTATTCAGGTGTAAAGCCAAGTCAAGAGGTCCAGTTGGTGGTTATCACAGTCACCTACATGTTAATGAGAAATTAAATCAGAAGTGTCACTCTCAGCTGCAGCCAGTGCATTATGGTGTAAATAAATAAAATAAGTCAATAAAACTGCATCATAATGCATGACTAAATGACAAAATGGCAGAAATAGCTCTCAGCTCCCTGGCGATCAGCACAGATGGACTGTGAATCTCTAGTATGGATGTCGCAGTGATTTGTCTGTATAGTCAGTGCAGCTGCTGTGAGTGGGATAGATGGCTCAGGCCGGGGTCTCTGTTGTGGACACCCACACACAGGCAGAAGGGATCAAGATATCTCCCTCTGGTTCCTGCAGGTAGAAGCTGTATTCTGCTCTGCTCCCTCAGTGGATGAATGATTCACAGCCAACCAATTAGCTGGTTGGTCGAGTTGGATTGTAACAGTCTTTAACTGCCTGTTAATCACACAGTACTTCTGTTTAGCACCTGGAGTCAGGCTGCAGTAGTGTGCATTTAACTCGCCAAAGACAGATAATTTGATTTGTGCTTAAACAGAATTAATTATAGTAACTGAATCTGAGGAGGACTAAAGGTCCAGTTCACACTATCTCACTATTTTCACACCACTGCTTACAGGCCGTTTCTCTACTGTAAACACCCACAGTCTGTCTTTTCTGTTGTTTTGCCAAATAGCACTTGTGCTACGAACTGTGTTGAGTCCAAAAAGCCACCGACAGGGACTGACTAGTGCCAACGGTGCAAGACACACCAAGAGCATGAGCCCTGACAGTGACCAATGGCTGACCGTCAGCTTGGTGCGTCTCTGCCCTTAAGAAGTGCTGAAGCCCAGATGTGGGCTGTGATTTGTAGTAGAGAGAAATTCAGTGCTTTTCGGAGCAGTTGTGTGCTGGCAGTGTCGACAGGAAACGTACGTCAGGTCGAAACGTGCACTCAGTGTGGTTCTGCACCTTTGATCACTTTTTCTGAGATTCAAACAGGTTTGGCGTTTGAAGAAAGCCAGTCAGCCAAACAGAGCTTTGTAGGCTGGACTTATAATGAATCTCATGTTTGTGTACCAGCTCCAGAACCACATGTTCACTGCCACGTAAAGAGTGAAAGTACTGTAGTATGTGGAGTTGTTTTGAGGTATGTTCGAGGCAGCTGTTAATATTGTAGGTTGAACGGCCATTGTAGGTTAATTTATAGAATTAATGCATCACTCATCACTTCTTCATCTGACATCACGTTTTCTAACAGCTCCTGTCATTTACTTGTGTCAGCTGAGAATCATGCCAGTGAGATGTCAGTCGCTGCATCGCTTAATCAGTTCTACCCACTCACCAGTTAATGGGGAAGAAATATCACTGCATTATAATCCATAATGAAAAGATTTGTTCACCGTAGCCCTACTTTGCACCAGCTGCTAACAAATGTGATTCATCAGCATCCGTGCTTTCTGCTTTGCTGGTCCAGCTGTGAAGGAGGCGCAGCTCATGTCCTCTGAGCCTGCAGCATCTTCATGACCTGACCGGAGCCGAGAGCCGAGATGTCCCGCAGCCGTTAATACGAGTGTTCTCTGATGCTCACACTGACCGACTGTGTGAGCATGTGAATGTGTCTAAGTGCATGTGCATGTAGAGATGTAGATATCGTGCAGAGAGGTGTGCGTGTGTGTGTGTGTCAGTGTGGTGAAGCAGCCCTGCTTGCTGAAGGCTGTTAGTATGAGTCGAAGGCTCTGGTGCTGAGCTGGCAGACAGGGAAGCCCATGTATCATTAAACCTCCTCCACAAGTGTGGAGCCAGCCCACACTGTGCTGCTGTGTGTGTGTGTGTCAGCAACACAGGGGGTCTCTGAAGGAGTGGACATGAACCAGATGTCATGATTTTTATACAGTTTAATAATATACAGAGAAATCACATCATAAGGCCTCACTGCATCCACATCCATGTGCCGCTGCTCACATTATTATACTGTGGCCTTATTTGCAGACAGCTCTGGCATTATTTTATCTTTTATTATTATCAACCAGTATTGTGAGACGAACTAGAAAAGAGTATCCTACTTTGAGAAACATCAGAACCAGCACTGAGTTTTTCTGTGTGACAGATGTTTGACAGTGGATAAGATTTGCTATGTTTGTTAAAAAAAAAAACTTTTCTCTTTCTTTATTATTGTAAATTCAGTGTCTTTGGCTTTTGGACTGTTGGTGAGACCAAACAGTCTGAACACAGTGATCTTGGACATCTGGCTTTCCTGACATTTTACAGGCTTAACAATTAGTTAAGTCCATCTTCCCATTCAGACGGCTGTAGCTGCATGGCCAGCCTGCACTACAGCATCGATCAGTGTATTTTTCTTATTGCCGTGAAAGTGATCATACATGCATCATGCAGTACACACAGTGAATACAACACCAAGTACACCCACACAAAGAAACTAATAAATAGACAAAGTTTTAACCAAAGAAAACATTGTCGTGATGACATTAGCTTCAGAACATCTAGGTTCAAGTCTTCCCTCACGTTTCTGGAACAGTGTGTCTGCTGGTCAAAGCTGAAAGATGTGAGGCTGTGCTGACTCTGAACAATTAGTCAGCAGGGGGGGGGGGCACTCCTCTTTTTACACTGGTTTCCCAGGCTCCGTACAGTGCTCATTTTCACAGTAGTGTTGGTCAACAGTGGGGACGTTGTCATGGTTTCTTTCCTGCTGTGACAATGGGTGCTCTTTTCCTTCTTGGTGAAGGCCAACATACTCCTCCTCCTCAGGGCCTCTCAGCCCAGATCAGCTTTTTGCTCAAATTCCTACACTTTACGGGGTGACCACAAAGATCGCTGTACAGATGCGACATCCATTTTCAACAGATACTCTCTGTTACCAGTTTATTAGGTACCCCGAGATAAAACTAGTGCAGACAGACAACCATGCTCTGGCCTCGGCCCGTAGTGTAGAGCTACACAGAGAATGGATGTTTTAACCTTGTATGGTTAACCGCATGTGACAGTTTAAGTCTGCTAATGGAAAAAACAGCCGAGACATCTTTTTAAATAATGTTGAACACTTCTTTATTTCTTTATGCTGTTATTTATCAGCTGTGATTGAAGCCGATATTAATATATCAGTCTGTTCTTTGATCCAGTCGTTTCACTGGTCTAGCTCTCAGTTGATGGATTGATCGATTTGTAAGATTATGTCAAATATAGATTGTTTTTAAAGGAAAACTACAGTTTATTACAACTTGGATTTGATTTTTGTAGCTCCAGTCACTGGTTTTATTGGTGATGTCAGTAGTGTCCTGGTAGCAACAACAACATAGGACAACAGACACACAGACGCAACGTCAGCTAAACTCATTTGAAAGAGAAACCAAAGGTGAACAGGAGATTATTATGAGATCTCAGTGGTTAGTTTTGTAATACTTTTTATTGTCTGATAGAAGTGTTACAAAAACAGAAAGCTGAAGTGTAATAATCCACAGTTTTCCTCTGGCTGGGGGCTAGTTATGCTGCTAATGCTGCCTGTCTACAACTGTCCCTGAGCAGTGAATAGCTGTTCCTGATGGTTTGCCTTGGATAGTCGCTGCCGTGTGTGAGAATGGGAGAAATGAAGCCAAAGTGCTTTGGATAATAACCAGTGTGAACGTGGTGGGTGATGGGAACAGATAAGTCTGAGGAGTCAACCTCTGTCGGCCACATGACGTAACGTTTAGTGCACGAGATGCTCTGATTTGCTAGCAGTCAAACAGGTCAGTATTCACAAAATCCCAGATTGTGAGAGCAGCTACACCAGGAGACAATGACATCATTCATTTTTATTTGTCTGTAACCTGTAATGGGAATGTGTGTGTGTGTCCCTGTTGTGTTATAATGAAAGTGTCATGTTATTGACGTGAAACATCCTAAAGACTATATAGTCCCTGGGCTCGAGTAGAGGAGTGAGTGTGTGTGTTTGTGTGTGTGTGTGTGTGTGTGGTGGGGGTAGTGCAGGCAGCAGGGAGAGCCCCAGCACAGATGGCTGCCTTTAGGTGGCTGAAATACAGCTTCATTATCAGCAGGTTGCAGGTGGTAACGCTCCCATCACTGTGTCTCCATGCATATGTATACGTGTGTGTGTGTGCGTGTGCGTGTGCGTGATGTTATATTGTGTCTGTA